TGAAAATTAGTAATCATGTTATTAATGCATGACTTAAGTACCTACTTGCATCACTGTAAGTACTATTGAATACTGTAAAACAACTAAGTTTTTAAAATGTCTAGTAATTTCATAAGTAAGTCTTTTTTAAAATAATGTCAAAGGTCTTGTTTCTGCAAAAAAATTAAATAATAATAATAATAATTGTCATTTTTATTGAACTGAAAATTCAGTCCAATAGGCTATTGACTGAAATCCTTCTGCCTATTGTACTGCATACAAATGGGGTTATAAATATTTTATATCACAGAAAAAATTAAATCTAATATAAGTAACTCATTTTTTCAAAAAACATTTAAATGACCATCAGGTAGACGATAAATACATACTGCCATCAAAATAGGCTTTCTGCTGATTTTCTATTCCACAACATTCAAACTGCTTGGATTCAGATAATAAGTTGAGATCCTTAATTGGCTTTGTTGTTGAATCAGATGAACAGTAAATATAGCGACTCTTCCATGTTGTTTCTCTGGACAACAAAAACATTGAGGTAATTTAATGACTTCAATCTGAGGATATGTTTGCCAGTGTTCAGTCAAACAAATTATATCAAGATTATTAAAGTCTTCGTATAGGGCTGATATCTCATTTACACAATAATGGTTGAATAGATGAATTTTTTACCAAAACACAATTTTATAAATAATCTAGTCAAAATTTACGTTTCTACAAAACCTGCAGTTGCATTTCAATATATTTACACAGACATGGCCAAGAACTCTTTAAAATTGCATTACCGTTTCTTGTAACAGTAGTCACAACCTATAAAATATTTTTTTATATAGCATATTATCCTGTCTTTCCCAATCCTATTCTATTCCCTATTTCTATTGGACAATTAATTGTCTTTGGACTTTTATTTTCAATTGACATCTTGTAACTTATTGTTATTTAAATATAATCTAAAGGTACCTCTATGGTAGGTACCTATATTGTTTTAACATTAGTCAAAATACTAATTAAAAGAAAATCTAACAGTTATCATAATAAGGGTAAGTACGTACCACATAAAATATTTCAAGGTGCTGCATTTCGTAGAAAGATGTATTTCATACTTTCTGTAAATCATTGGTAGTTGTCACTGCCTTCACGGACACTATTCGCTAAAAATAACATAGGCTCAGATGCTGAGGATGGAAATATCGATTTTAGCCGGATCGACTGATCAACTGCCAAACAGAGGCGTAATCATGTAACAAACTAACCATTTCAAAAAAATACAATTTTAAAATTTTTAACTTCACTAGTTTGAAAACGACACTTTTTCACATTGAATTTCAATCTTGATTAACAACTGGCTAGAGATGGGCTAGAGTTGTTATTGTTTAATCTATTTTACTGTCTGCCCGTCTGCCGTCTGTCTATTGACTCCAGTAAAGCAGTAACTGATGTTTTTCGTTTGTTTCACTCGTTCGTCGTTCGTTTCTCACTCGCTGTTGCGTGCGGTGTGCGAGTCGTGCGTCGTGCAACAGCAAGGCAACGTGTGACGTGTGATTTTAAAAAGTGTGTCTACTGGCCCGAGCATGTCATATTCTCTTAAAATGCCATTAAATATTAAAGTTCGACTTGAAAGACCAAAATAAAGAATGAAACGTAAAAATGCCAATTTAAAATCGCTTAGGTATACTTATTTCAAAAGCTCTACATTTAAAAGCCAAAAAATGCTCCTTAAATAGTGTTAGAGATAACAAAATACCTATAGGTAAAATTTGAATTACTATTTTCTACACCCACATGGATATTAGCTTATCTACGCACAGACTACAATACGAAAAAGTATGTCATTGCGCGCAACTGAACGAATATATTTCATATCCATTCTAGGTATTGAGAACACTACAAAAAAATTAAATTCACCAATCACAGTTCATATTTTGGACATTCAACTACTACCTATTATTTTTAAAATTTTTAATAAGTGACAATTCTGTCAAACTAATTGTCAGTATATTTCTTAATTATTAAGATTAAATATATACATTAAAATGAGTTATTTTTGTGTAGAATCGATAAATAATCGTAAATAATAGTATTTCTATTTTTATTTAAAAAAAAAATAAATTTTAATCAAACTATATGAAACTATTTTAATAACGAGTATTAAAACTGAAATCGTAAAAGTCGCCGTAGAGGCATGGACAGAGTGCTTGACTTCCATGCGAAAAGCCGGGATCGATTCTCGGCTTGTGAGTAATCTTTTATTTTTCATATTTATTTTATTTTAAAAATCAGTAAAATTCATAGATTATTTTAAAATTAGTTATTTTTCTTAAAAACCTAAAATATTTTTTTATATTTGTAGATTTTCGTTAGTGGGTTGTAGAAAAAATATACTATACAACTCGAGTGTATATACTATCCACTCTTGTTGCACAAACACTATTCTAGGTTTGTTCTGGTTCTTCAGAAATATGTTGAAAACTGTCCGAGTACTAGATGACCACCAGTGGAAAGTTGAAAAATTTTACGGGACGCTTAGTTTGATATTCAACTGGATCTCGGACGGTTTGCAGTACATTTTGAAAAAACCGGAACAAGCCTTGTTAGTTTTTCTGCTAATGTTGGCATGTCTTAAAACTTATAATCGAGATTCAAATTAATTTTCGTGCGCCTCTCATTTTTACCTATATATGCCATATGCCGCGTTTGAGAATCCATATCGGATGCATCTGAGATGTAGTAAATCTTTGATAACGTGATTCAGTATACGTAAATGTAATGGGACAGATGTGTCTAATGTGGATAAAAAAACGCTCGAGATGTAAAAAATGCATCCGATGTGGATTCTCAAACGCGGCAATAATGCATGTATAATGATTTCCATCAAATTTCAAATAAATTACATTTTATTTGAATTATAAAAAGAAATATTATTGTGTGAATGGTTTATTTTTAACATTTTGGATTAGAGAACGGCCTCCGAGGTGAATTCGGATCACAATTTGTTTATATCCCGAAATATTTAAGTTCAAATTTAACGCGATGTCAATGACAAGTAATGCCGATTTTTTCATCACAAAAAATACAGTTCTGAACGATATTATTTTTAGAAATTGTTTTTAAAATTGAATTCAGAATACGGTAAAGAATGGTGGAAAGCCTATAGTTTGTTTTACTTTTAATGCATAATATTTTAATAAGTGATATTTAAAAAATATTTAAAAGTTATGGACTTTCCACCATTTTTTTATAGTATTTAAAAGCTAAAACGCAAAATAGACTCTTTTATTTTTGCGCTAATTATTTCAGGAAACTTGAGTTAAGATTTAAAAAAAAAAAAATATCGCGACGAATTGAGAACCTCTTCCTTTTTTGAAGTCGGTTAAAAAATGTACTGCGCCAATTTGCAACCGTGTTAATTCGAAACATACGTTTTATTAAACTCATCGTGTTACGTGACAAAGAGATAGAAATTTAAAGTGACGTCTTGTATTACTTCGAATGAAAAGCTATTACCAGGGCTGGATACCTATTCTCTAACTCATGGGAGCACTCCCACACTCCCATGCTCCCATACTCCCATGCCAACGTTGCCAAGTCGACAGAATAACTTTGATCTACTATTTAAGGACCGATCCACCGTTGTGTTAAACGAAGTTTAAAATGACATTTTTACATTAACAATGTCATTTTAATCTCCGTTTAACTCAACGGTGGAATCAGCCCTTAGTAATTCAAATTTGCTTTGTGATAAATACGGACCTAATCTGGCAAGCCCGCAATTCACCCTCCCATAGTATAAAATCTGACCTTACTACGCATGTACCTGGGCTAAAAGTGAGTAAGCACGATATACCCACCTAAGAGTAAGAGAGCAAAATATATGGGAGCACTCCCATGGGAGCGCTCCCATGACTTAGTGAATAGCTATCCTGGTATATCTAAGGGGGTCGTGACATAGACCCAGGTCAATGAGCATAAATTAATTACAGAATGTTTGACAGTTTGAAACGATATTGAAGAAACAATTCGTATATTGCAGGACAGTTTAAGCTTACAACTCCAACGATGGAAGATTTTAGATTCGACGACGAAGTACTATTTTTGATCCGGCTTAGAAGACCAATTTAGGAGTTAGGTGTTTTTCCCTTACATTTTAAACATTCCTTCGACTGTAATGGACTGCTGAGAGAAAGAGCACCGGTTTTCTTGCGTTCAGGGCCGCTGAGAGCGAGGCCGGGCCCCAGGACAATTCTCTAGATAGGGCCCCGTGAAACAAAAACTTTTCCTCTTTTACTGTAATTGAATTTTCTAAAAAAAAAAACTTGATCGCTGCCGGGCCCCCATTTCAGTCCGGGCCCCGGGAATTAGTCCCGGCTACCCTCCCCTCTAGTCGGCCCTGCTTGCGTTGATGTAAAATAAAACAGCGGTATCATTTAACTTCATTAAATATCATAATTCCATACTAATGAACTTGTTTATCACAACACTAACATATTTACAATTTTAGTAAATCACATTTACTTCAGAAAATTAAGCACAAAAAGATGCTTCGTTGAGTGAGAATAATAAGTTTATGCCGGTTGAAGCAAAGCTACGCGGAAAGCTATTGGCGTCGCTTCGGCTTCTGATCAAGCGCCTGTTAGGAAAACGTACACATCACTGCTTTCTATTGGCCATGTCCTGTGAAGCGGATTATGTAACATCTTTGAGAAATTATGTGTTTAGGATTTTTTACAGTTTTAAATCAAATATATTTTGTTTTGTGTTTTGATTTAAATTGTATTATGTTGAAGGATCTTCAACAACGTAGGTACATCTGGTATGTATATATCCCATATTTTACTGTCCAAGATAAATTTGTTATCTATTTCTTTGTTATCTGGAGTTGCCTATATTTCAGTAATGTTTTACCAAAACATTATTTTATAAATGATCTAATCAAAATTAGAAAAAATATTGTATCTAACACGTTACGAAATGCCTTTTTATGTATCTCGTTCATGTTACGGCATCTCGCTCTGCTAGTCCCGCATATATTCACTCGTTACATAAAATAAGGCATTTCGTAACTGGTTACATAAATAGCTATTTTGGGAAATTCTAATCATTAATAATTTTAAATTTCCCGCGTAAACGAACCGTGAGTATAGATAAATAACTATTTTGGAAATTTTAGGATGTAGGATCATATTTGACTTGACAAATTTCAATCATGTGAAATCTTTAAATTCTTCGTCCGATTACAAAAATATTTGAAAAAATGCCTAGAAATTTTTATTACATTAAAATTGGCAACCATGAAGAAGAGAGGCATATGACATTACTGTTTTGTGATTTTAGCATTTTCGGGAAGGTGAAGGTAATAAAGTTTTTATTTTTTCTAATTTTTTTCCTGATTATTAATTTATTTATAGTTCTGAAATAATTCCCTTCAATGTAAAAATATTCAAGTATATTATGTCCGGAATTGAACTGGATAATATAAACCCAAGCATTTATGAAAAAAGTGATGACAGAACAATCACATTAGATGAACGGAATGACAACGTAGTGGATGAATTTGACCAACGAGAAATTTTTGGTAAGTTTTGTAGGTACAGCATTTAATTATTCCTCTCTAGCCTAAAATCTATATTTTCAGATTTAATAAGAAATATTAATGACCCCGAACATCCGCTTTCATTAGAAGAATTGCATGTAGTTGAAGAACATCTCATCCAAATTAACAATGCAGAAAACACTATATTTATTCATTTTACACCTACAATTCCGCATTGTAGCATGGCTACTCTCATAGGTCTTTCCATAAGAGTGAAATTAATTCGGTGCCTACCAGCAAGATTCAAAGTTAAGGTTGAAGTTACGCCTGGAACCCACAACTCTGAACAGCAAGTTAATAAACAATTGGCTGACAAAGAAAGGGTCGCTGCAGCTTTAGAGAATATTCACCTTATACAAGTGATTAATCAGTGTATTGCTCCTAGGAAACGTGCATAAACATTACAAAAATGAGTACTTCTAATATCTATCTTTCTAACCCTTGCAATATAGCATCTGCATACAGTAAATGTGCCAGGTATCTACGGAAGATATTAAAGTTTGATCAAATGGACTTCCAATTTGCAATGTGGCAGATGCTATATTTGTTTGTTAATCCCCAAAAATTAATAAAATTATTTAGAGCTCGAAAATTATCAAAGTCACAGTATGCACGAGATGATCCAGCATTTTTAGTTCTTTTTGCTGCAGCTCTAAGCATAACCACTGTGGGATTTTCAATTGTATTAAAATTATCATTTTTACAGTTTATAAAATTTTTATTTTTCGTAATATTTGTAGATTGTTTAGGTTTAGGAGTGTTAGTAGCTACTTTATTTTGGTATATATCTAATACCTTTTTCAATCCAAAGACCAGTTTGCAAGATGTAGAATGGGGATTTTCTTTTGATATCCATTTAAATGCTTTTTTTCCTCCATTAATATTACTACATTTTATTCAACTATTTTTTTATAATGGAATCATAAGTCATGATTGGTTTTTGTCAATACTTTTGGGAAATACGTTTTGGCTTTGCTCCTGTTTGTATTATTTTTATATAACATTTTTAGGTTATAATTCATTACAAATCTTAAACAACACAAGATATTTTTTAGCTCCTGTTCCTTGGATATTAATATTTTATTTCTTTACCTTGTTAATGCATTGGAATATTTCCCAAATTGTTATGAATTTCTATAGAAATAGAGTTTTGTAACATTTTCTGCTTCTTGTATAAATAAAACTAATATATTAAGATATTAAATATTTTTTATTCTATTATAACATGTTTGTTCACCTATTTTTCGCAGACATTGGTGTTGTTGGTTTATCTGAGCTTGCTTGCTTTGTTGGATCATATTTGTAAGTTTTAACAATAGGGCCTTTACCAGCTCTTTGAAAATATAATTCATCTAATCTTTTTCTTTCTTCCAACTGTTTTGTGATTTTTATATTTTCCCAGGCTAAAAAGAAAAACATTTTAAACAATAATTTCTCCATGGTGTACTCTACATAGGTAGGGGGTCCCGGAGCATTTTAATGTTTGTCAATTTTGATTTAATTGGAAGGACAAAAAAATTTGTCCTGGCTAAAATTCATTGCTGAAGCGAAGCTGTTAAATAACTATTTTCCAATATGACACCAAAATGCATAAAACTGACACTACTTATTAGTAGTATATACATCAGAGGACTTTTTCAGAAGAAGTCATCAGGTAAATAAAAGATTTCTACACTCATGCCATCATTATACGTAGCCAGTGGTTGTTGGATTTGATCCATGAGAAATTGTAACACACATAAGGACTGATTTTATAATCAATATTAAAAGGTACATTAACTAATGGGACCTGTAAGTCCATAAAATCTTGGTCCCATTAGATAATGGACCTTTTAATATTCAATATGAAATCAGCCCTTGATATGTACAATTTCATGTTTGTGTATGACTAAAACTGAAAATTCTTGGAAATGGAATGTTCTACAGAGATCAACCAAGAGTTCCTTTTTTTGTGACAAATTACATGAGGTATAATTATTAATGAATTATTTATGAAATATAGGGTGTTCAAAAAGTTTGAATGAAAATTGTTTTCATAACCCTTGATTCTACGCCAATGGGTTATCGTAATTTATCAAAATAAAGTGTTTCAACTAACATACACATTTTTAAGCTAAAATATTTACCTTAAGAGAAGATATTTAGAAAATTATGTATTTAGGAAATTCACTTTATCACCCTGTAGAATGAAACTGGACGTTTACAGGATAATTATATTTAGCTCTTTTTAATAAATAGTTAGGATCGTACTTTATTCTGAAACACCCTATATAAGTTTCAATTGGTAGATTTTAGTCTCAATAAGTTGGAAGTTACATGTTAATGCTGCAATTTCAGGAGGTGCATAAAAATCATGTGATTCAGAATCCTCTTGATTTTTCACATTTATTTAGTGAAAAATAATTAAAAGTATTTAAGTGAATCAATGTTTTCAATTGAAAAAAAAATAGTTACTATACAAGTGTTTTTTGAAACGAGCGGAGCGAGTTGAAAATGTCTTTGGACAAAATATGAAGACTTAACGTGTGTATCGTACACTATTTTTTCTACAAATCTAGTTAAAATTGCATAAGTTTAGGTTCTCAAAGTTTTAATTTTTAACATTAAAACCAAACACCAAAAAATCTACTTATAATTGATTTGTAGAAAAAAAACTTTTATTGAGTCACTAAGAATCCTGTAAAAATGACAGTCCCATTTATAAATCATTATTATGTCATGCACAACATCCAACTATTTTTTTATGAAATGTGACATAGAACAGAAGTAAAAGTTGGAAATGCTTTTGCCAGTTCTCCCACTTTATACACATAAATTGACAGGTTGGCACCGGATCTCACCGAAGTGGACGCGATACATTGGCGTACAAAATTATTTTATAGATGTTAATAACAATTTCGAGTAAATAGTTTAATAAATTGTGAATAGCTGCTGAAATTTTGTAAAATTATAATACATGTTTAATAATTATTTATAATCCATAAATACATGCGATTGTCCGGTTCCGCCGATAACAATTTAGAATTACTTATTCTATGAAACGACACTGGCAGGTAAACATTACTGTGAAATTCTCGGAGCCGCCCGACGTGGTTTGACATTTACCCCCTCTCTACCTACCAAAAGACTTTTCAACTTTTACTTTCTCTATACCTATATTTTTTATGGTCAAAACTGTCAATTCTGTACAGATTTTATGATTAAGTATAAAAAATATGTATATAATTTTTTTTACTACTAACATGAGAAAGCACCATTATTTACTCCATTCCTCTAATGAGAAGTAATATTTCTCACCCTAGGTAAATAATGATAATAAAAAAAAACCTAGGTAAATAATGAAACTAAATTTCATTAGTTTCATTTTGTTAATTTGACAACTAAACTCCCAGACTACTTGATATTTTAAAATATTTGAAAAATAAGTAGGAAATAACTAAAGCTGGATTTATCAAATCTAATCAAATCAAATATGATAATATATATCAGTGTAAACAGTAAAAATATATATTAACTAGGAAATTCAACACCGGCTTCAAAAATTATTAATTAATGACAATAAATCCATGTCATTAAAATATCAAAAATGCAATGGGATATTTCCTAGAATCATACCAAAATTTGACACATGCCAAATTTTTACATAAATAAAGCCAGTCTGATTAGAAACACGCTCCAGTCTGCTTGATATTTCGAAATATTTAACAAATTGTTAGGAAATTACTTATGTCAAAATTAAAATTGCTAATATATTAATGTTAGTAGTAAAAAAAATTCTATATATACCTCGGCTGAGAAAGCTATTATTTACCTCGCACATTATATCCCTCGGCGCTACGCGCCTCAGGATATAAAAGTGCTCGGTAAATAATAGCTCACTTCTCATCCTAGGTATATAATGTACTATTTTAGACCTGAAAAATTCACACCTCTACTTTTCAACCAATAAGATGCCTTAATTTTGGCTAGTTACCATGGCAACTAAAAGGCGCCACGATATTTAAGTGGAAATTTTTTGACAGTTGAAAAGGTAAACATATCACCTACAACCATTAAATAATGTAGATATACCTGTGAATAATGCAAAATTTCTATTTATTATTCGCTATAAAGTTTCATTAAACAGAAAACACAAATTTGTTTAATTATTATGCATTAACAATTTATATTTCAAAAAACGTAAGATGTACAAACGGTAAGATTTAAATGTTTCTTGAATTCTAACCCATCGTGAATAGGAAAGTGACGAATTAATTAGATGTCTGTGTAATATTTTGAAACAATTTTGTTCAAATCTTTTAGGCAAAAGGCCATATTTACTTGACATGTTCAGCAGACTTTCTTGGATTTTCGTAAACAAACCATTCGACTGTAACGCTTCCTAGTCGCAATCTTCCATTAAATTCGTTAAATATATTAATTTTGGATGACATATTTGCACTTGATTCAACTCTTTGCAGTATTTACTTAAATTGTACTTTTCAAAGCATTCCATTTTTCTCAAATTGTTTAACGCAAATGCTTACAAGAAATGTTTTACTTAAGAATATCTTTGTTTGCTGGTTTACTATACAGTAACTCAATGTAGTTTACCAATATAAACCTCATCTGTCAAAAGCATGGCCGCCTATTTATCACGGCCACCTACTGCAACAAACCATGTTAATATTATATTTTTTACATTAGAAGTGTTACAGATTACTTTAACAAAAAATAGATTTCTACTACTAATACTACTTAGTGACCTAAAATTATGAAAGGACGATAGAATGAACTAATACCCATCTGAGTTTTAGCATTTGGTGTAACTAAAGTTGGTAATTTTTTTTATTTAATGAAATATGGTGGATATACCTATATGATTTTATTTAGAATTTATTTCATGTTGAACTAATATCTTCACTGACAAATCTCTAATGATATCGACTAATAAGCAAAATAATAACGAAATACATATAATTATTATAGGTTTTATTAATATTAAAAACACAATAAATTATTATAAATGTTTGTGGGCTGGCTTGAATTGGTGGTTTTAATATGATTGCTTTCTGTTTTATTTTACATTGTGTTCTGATCATGATTAAACTTGCTAGTACTTGATGAAATTCTCCTCATGGATTCAATCATCTGATGATGATGTTTAACGTCCAATTGTAAGGTTTGCTTGACTAACTATTACTGTGTCCAGTAATTTTAATATTACTGTGTCCAGTAATTTTAACGAGTTGTTGTTCATCAACTCCTTCCTTGGCCAAATTCGAAACAGCTGTTGCTCTTGCAGAATGATTGGTTATTTTAACTTTTTTAGTGTCAATTCCTATATCAGAGGCTGCTGATTTAAACCATGAAGATACAATGTTCTTACCATTGGGTTGACTCCAGTATGGGTTTGGTGTTAAGAATAATCTGGCGGTCAGAATAAGATTTCCCTTTTTTTCCGTCAACTTCTTAAACAAACGCACCGGACACATTTGTAGATTGTCAAAATTTGTAATCAACCATTTACTATTCGACAGTTTTTTAGAACCACCTTGTGTGGTTTTAGAGAATATTGGATTATATTCTATCCGACCTTTTGGGTTTCCGAAATTATCAGTTTCTTCTTTGAAATATTGGATACACGCAGAATATCCTTCCCCTCCTCTCCATGCCAACTGATGTGAAACTATGTGAAAAAAATTACGTTGCAATCCATGTGGAGTATTTCATCCCACATTTCAATAATTTTTTTGTATTCGTCACTGGTTAAGGCTGAAGCACTCCCTTTTCTTTTTAAAGGATCTCTCTGGAATGGATTATATTTTATATTTTTCGTAATACATTTCTTGTAACTGCTTAGCAGCAGAGTTCCACATCACTTTGACCACACTTTCTGTATAATCTTCAAAATTTTTCTTTTTCATATTAAATGCGTAGTCCTCCAGTATAGTAGCCAGCTGTACTACACTCATACACTCATGAATATTATACAACTTTTCATCACAAAATTCAACAAACCGTTTCCGTACACTTGATTTTGATTTTCGGGTGTTATCTGGTGATATATTTTGAATTTCTTGTCTAATTACTTGTTGACTTTCGTTACCAAATCGCGACATTTATTAAGCTTTGTGACAGAACCGGTTAAACAAAAATGACAAATCAACATCTGTCAAAGACAAAAATACCCTGGCCAACTTGACAAGCAGTGAAATTAATTTAAAATGTCAGGTTGGATTAATAATTTTCTTCCAAATTATGGTGTGAAATTTTCTTACTGAATACCACTCAAGCTTAAATTATTCCTAGAAATTTTTAAAGGTCTTGTGATATTATAAGTAAAAATAGACATTTAAATTGAAACATTACAGTTGAACAACAAAATTACTTACAGTCTTTTATCCCTTCTCTAAATCCTTTTGGCTTAACAGGTATATCTGAAGGACTAAATTTGCGCATGGGCTCAATATTAAAATAATCTCTGACAGATGGTATTCTCAAGAAACCAACTTGTACCAAAGAAATAAAATTACTAGATGCCCAATAACACAATATAGCACCAGGAAAATTTACGGTGAATGGAAATATTAATATAGGTAATCCCCTCAAAACATATTTCATCATCTGCATATTCTGGGAAGACAACTTAGCTGTATCTGTTCCTAACTAAAAAAAATATAATTTACAAATCACATTATTAACATGAAACTGTGATTAAATTGTGTATTAAAAAACTTGATATGGAATATTTCACTTTTAAAAAGTATATAAGACAAAATTTTGGACTATTTTTTTAACAGTTTTTGTTCTCTTATCAATATCAATGACAGGCAACTTGAAAATGTCTTCATAATATTGAAATGGCTCAAAAATGGGTAGTCTGAATAAAAATTAAGCAGCACATGCTTCTACCTAAAAATTGGTAAAAAATTGTGCTTATTTATCAATTAATAAAAATTTTTTAGGGAGGATTAAAAATACGAATTGTGTGATAAAGCAGTTGAGACAATTAGGAAGAGGCCTGAAAATTCAATTATTGAAAAACAAGCACTATTTGTTACCCATTTTAAGACAAAAGCAATTACTTAATTTTTATATAGCCAATGTGATCTATAGCTCAGATTAATAAATAAACTAGATAAGTACTTATGTATCAAGATTTGTTTGGCTGGAACATGTTCCCCTTCCATTTTAGTATGGTTTACGATTTTTAATGATTGGTACTGTCAACTCATTGACAATTTTCAAATTAAGTGATTTTGTTTTAGATTTTTGTTTTGTTGGTGTATAATCCGAGGTTTGTTGCAACATAGACCAAATCAGTTTACGTACTGTCGGGATTCTGCACAGTCTAGAATTTGTATTACAACAAACTTCAGACTCAAAACTGTACAACAACCTTAGAATATAAATATTCTAAGACAAAAACATAGTGTTCCAACACAACCAAAACTAATCACAAACAATCGACTTGCGTATTGTCAAATCAGTTCCTAGGTCTGAATAGGAATGAATTGTCAAGATGCAATAACCTGAACATTTCGTGATTGTAATTATATTATTTGTATCTATCGTTTCTGAGAGCTCTGATTTGTCTTTTTCAATCGAGTTTAGTCTTCATAGTTTTTGTTCGGTATAATTTATTTTATTTTGTGGTTTATGGTCTGTTGAATTTATTAAAACTATGTTACAACATAACCGAGTTCCGAGTTGAGTCTCAATCTCCAGAGCCAAGAATCCATTGTGCTTGCAAACAAAGGTCATTCTTTTCAGTGGTATATAGATGGTTGCAAAACCATGGAAGGAACTAGAATAGGAGTGTATGGGCCTAGAATCAGGCATTCTGAAAGTTTGAGAAAATATCAAAGCATCTTCCAGGCGGAAATTCACGCCATTGAGAGGTGTATCCAGTTAAACATCGAGAGAAACTATCGTAGACAAGCGATTATTATCATGGCCGCTACCCAAGCAGCCAACAAAGCTCTGAGCTCTTACGTAATCAGTTCAAAAATGGTCTGGAGATGCCTAGAAAAACTGAATGAGTTAGGCGACTTGGGTCCCGCAGTCCCGGGACACAACGGGTTATAGGGTAACGAGATTGCAGATAGTCTCACAAGGAAAGGGACTCAAACACCCTCTGCAGTAACACAATGTTAGGAGAGATTAAAAAAGAATTGAGCAGTAGACGAACCGATAATTGGAACAATCTCTTAGGGCTAGACAGGCTAAGATACATCTGGGTGAATAAAACCAGGAAAGAACGGAAGCCTGTATCTGCCTGAGCATTATAACAGGGATCCTAACAAGGCATTGCCAACTCAAAGGACACCTTAGTAAACTGAGAGTAGAAGAAGATAGTGACTTCACATTCTGAATGTGAAGCACTCCAGATTCCAAGGGCACTATACCTGGGAGCATATGAAATAGAAGAATGAGATGTACCTAACTTGCAGACACTCCAAATCCTACACTTCCTTGAAAAGGCGTTATAGGCATTGAGACATTTCCTTCCTGCATTAGCGACAGAAGGGGACATGATAGATCTTTTAGGTTGCAGTGTATTAACACCTCAATCCCCGACAGATTGTCAATTACTAGTTGTCAACAGATTGTCAACAATAAGTCATGGACTGGTTTATGTATGGTTTCAAGATCATTGTTGGAACAAACCTCTGGGTCTCAATTCTCGACTTTTTCCCACAAGAAAAATATAATTTTCATATGAGAATTTATATTTTGTATTCTCGACACATACACTAGGAATATTTTCTCATGAAAAGTATGGGAGCAAATACAGTTGGTATTTGGCATGGGAAATCAAATTTCCAATGGGAATATGCTTATCTTTTACACTCTATTTAATGGACTAAACCCCAGCTTTTGATCATCTTCATAGGTAGGTAAATTAGGGGGGCTTAGGGTAAAATTGCCCTAAGTTTTTTGTTGACAGTTTTTAATATTTTCTTCATAATAAAGCTACTTTTGTTGCATCTCGCTAGGACGCACTATTTTCAAGAAAAAAAGCATTTGAAAATTTTATGATAAGTTGATGTTATCTTATTCGAAAGTGTAAACAATAATTAATAGGCCTGTGAAATCAGAAATTTATTTTTCTTTTAAATTTCGAAAATCGGTTTCTGAAGAAATGTTTGAAAACATTTACAAAAATGTGCCATCAGGGCTTCACTTGTAACACCCTGTATCTCGAAAACGAAACGTTTTTGGACCTATATTTATATGAACTTTTATTCCTATTTTAGGATGTAGATTACGCTGTTAAAATATGACCGTCTAATTTCGGGACACCCTAAAGAGTGAGAAGCAAAATGCACTAAATATACAGATGTCCCAAATTTTAGCTTGATTTAAAGTAATTTCGGTAACTATATGAGTTATAGGGTTGTTTAAATGAGATAATTTTTACATTAACAGATTCTTAGTTCATAGATCCACCTTCAAAATATTAAATATGCAATTTTCTTCCTTTTCATTTTATGGTAGTTTGTAGATATCAAAAAACTAAATCATTTCCTCGTAGATTTACAACTATGTGCCACACTATAATTTTACGACGTTTCGAGCTTAAAAATTATCATCAGCTTAATATTTAAAATAAGCTAAATTAGAACCTGTAATTACAGAAATAGACTATTCCTAAAAAACCTTTACTTTTAAAGAAAATAATATATTAAAACAAGAGATTTGATTGTTTTAATATTCCAATATTCTATTCTATTATTTCTCCAAATCAGCTCGAGTCTTTATAGCATTTTAATTTTCGGCTCCAATATATTTTTAATTTTTTAAAAATATGTTTTAATTTATAAATTTTTAAATTTAAACCTTTGACAATTGCTTAATATGTAACAACGGTTCGGTACATTGGCCTGCTCGTTCGCCCGACCTAACGCCTCTAGTGTTTCTTTTGTGAGAGCAAATAAAAAAATGAAGTTTACAGTTTTGACCATCCTGAAGATGTTATTACAATGGCAGAAAGGTAAGAAACTCTATCGCAGCCATAAATTAAAATGCTTTGTGAGCCACACAAGCAGTTCTAAAAAGATCTATTAATTGTATAAAAAAAATGGAGGACATATTGAACATTTTAATTAGTTTTACGATATCCCTTCAATTAACTTCATAGCATGAACAAACATTTTAAAAAATTTAGAGTTTAATTAGTAAGAGTTTTGTTCACATTATTTTTTACTAATTGTAATTAAAGTAAATATTTTTTTAAAAAATACACGTACTAATTTCGCTTATTTTAAATTTAAACTGATGATAATCTTTATACTCGAAACGTCGTAAAATATAAACATTATTTTCTATTTAAATCGGTGTAAAAAACATCAGATCCTATTAACAAAAAAATATGACCAATAAAATTTATAATGATCTTGAAAATACCTAAAGTAAAAAATACTTTAATGGGAAAATCCCGAAAAAAACCTATCATACTATCAACCTTAGAATTAACCAGAAAAGGTTTTTCAGAAAAATATAAATAACAGAAATTTAAATCAAAATAATTTCAATTAATAATGTTTAAATATATACCTTTTTTACAAAATAAACTAAAATTTGATTCCATACTATCAAAAATCATCTTTGTTTAAAAATTTAAAAACGAAGAAATAGAAATTTGCGGGTCAAAAAATGGTTAATTTTGAGGTTTAGTATACAAAATTAAATTTATGATAGGCATCCTATGCCCATACTTTGGTTTGTTAGTCTTCCAACAAAAAATGCTTATGCTAAAAGATCACTTATCTAATTTATTTATTTATCTGAGATTTATTAATTTGCTATAAGTACCTCAATTGTTAAATACAATGTAGCACTGGTGATTATGGGTAAAAGAAAGTATTGGTCAGGTAAAGTCAGATCAGTAAACCACCACATGCCTCCTGTTCTCAAACTATCCACTGGCACATTGGCCATTTGTCGAAGGCCCATAAAAAATGAAACGAAAATCGGCATCTACAAAAAAAAATTATTTGAATGATAGTAACAGAAAATTAAATTAAATGAAAAAAACTATTTAGTATTATAAAAGAAAATGAAGTGAGAAACATCAGTTGAGATCAGAAAACTAAATGCAATTTTGAAAATTATGAAAACGAAAAATCACCAATTCACCCTACAAATTTATGAAAATTACACCCGGAACCTTGGACATACTCTGTGAGTTGAGCTACGCACATATGTATTGATATCCGAATCGTAAATTTAAAGTCAATCAGATTCTTGTTGGTACACACAAATTCTCATCCAATCTCATCTCCCCCAATTCTCCTTAAAGCCACCCTTTTAACGTCGTGTATAGAAGGACGATCCTATTATCTAAGATCCTTTATTTGTTCAGCACTGTTAAGTTTTTGAGCGGTACGTCGTGAACGTGAAAATATAATGAAAGTAAGAAATATCGGTTGAGACTAAATGCAATTTTGGAAATTATCAAAATGAAAAATTCTCATTTCCCCATACGAAATTGGGGGAATGAAGATGTCAAAGAAGGCAGCATAGTACCTAGGGAATTTTGAGTTAAACCCTATGCCATATTTTTAGGTTTAAGGCTATTTCTATACCCTATTCAAAAATTGTATGCACCTCGTTTTTTCCACAAAAATCAAGTTGTTCTACTAGCTTCGAACGAAGCCAGCAGAGCACCTTGGTTTCTTAAGTTTTTTTTTTTTTTTTTCAAAAAACAACCACCCCATATTTATAGGCGCGTTTTAGGCTCTTAAAAGATTATATCACTTTTCAAAAAAATTGGTATTTTAAAAAACGGGATGATTTGCTAGTTTCGAATGAAGTCAGCAGAGAACCTTTTTTTTTTTTCTAAATCAGCCACACCACATTTTTAGGCTCTTGAAATATGTATATTTTCAAAACAAAATTAATTTTTAATATAGGATGCTTTGCTAAAACGAAGCAAGCAGAACACCTTGGTTTTATGCTACAATTTTAGGCTCTTGAAATATTTAAAATATTCCAAGAAACTTTGATATTTTTAATCGAAGCTAGAACAGCAGCTCGGATTTTTAAGGAATAAAAAATTTTTAATCTTTTGAAATATTATTAAACTTAAAAAAATGTTTATTTTTAGAAAATACGGGATTTCAAACGAACGTTTTTTAAAGGTTTTTTTTATTAAAAAACAACCACAACTCATTTTTAGGCACTTGAAATATATAAAACATTCAGAAAAAAATTATTATTTTTAAAAAACATTTGAATGAACGAATCTAGCAGAGCATCTCGATTTTTGAAGTTTTTTTTTAAACAACCACACCACATTTTTAGGTTCTTGAAATATAAAACAATGCGAAAAAAATTGGGATTAAAAAAAACAGGCGTTATTTTTTTAGAAATAGAAATGTTTTTCTTTCGAGAACCTAAAAGTAGCCTTAAAATGTGGTATATTTGTTTTTAGAAAAAAAAAAAACTTTGAAGGTGGCAATTTTTTCAGAATGTTTAATAATTTTTTTTTTTTGAAAAGCTTTATAATATTGCCAAAAAATAAGGCATAAGTAGTTGTTTAAAAAATAAATAAATAATAAAAAACCGAGGGACTCTGCTGACTTTATTCCAGCAAAGAGCCTGTATTATTTAAAAATACCTTTTCAAAGTTTTACAATATTTCAAGAGCCTAAAAATAGCATAAAAATGTGGTCTGGTTGTTTTTAGAAAAAAGGCTTTAAAAATCCGAGGTGCTCTGCTCGCTTCGTTCGAAGCTAGAAGAGAACAATGATTTTTGTAAAAAAAAGGGGAGCATGAAATTTTGAATAGTGTATAAAAATGTTCTTAAAATATGGCATAGGTTTCAATTCAAAATTTCTAAGGTACTCTGCAGTTTTCTTTGGCATAATATGAAGGTGTAATTTTCATAATTTTGTAGGAGGAATTGGAGATTTTTCATTTCAATAATTCCAAAATTGCATTTAGTTTTCAGATCTCAACTGATGTTTCTTAGTTCACTTTTCTTTCATTATATTCTCACATTTACAACATACTGTACTTAAAAACTTAACACTACTGAACAAATGAAGGATCTTAAAAAAAAAGGGTGGCTTTAAGGAGAATTGAGAGGGCTGACATTGAATGAGAATTTGTACCAATGAGAATCAGAATCTGATTGACTTCAAATTTGCGAATTCAGATATCAATATGTATGTGAGTTGGTAGCTTGAGCAGTGGCGGCTCGTGGGGTGGTTCACAGTGACAGAATATAGGTATCAGTACAGATGTCTGAAAAAACTTTCAGTGTATTAGAAAGTTTATTATATACCTTTCTAAAACACTGACAGATTTTTACCTAAATCTGCACCGGGATCTATATTCTACTACTGTGAACCCCCAAAATTTTGGCCACAAGCCGCCCCTGAGCTTGAGTGGCAGAGTATGGAAGGCTGAAGTTTGAGGTTCCCGGTTCGATTCCTGACCGATGTACTTATTTTTTGTTTCTTTAATTCTCAGCGTTTTCAATATTTCTTTGGTTTGTTTTCACTTTGGGGATATGAGGGTGTAATTTTCATACTTTCTTATGGGGAATTGGGGATTTTTTATTTTTATAATTGAAGGGCTTGTTGTAAAAACATGATAAGCCACATTTTTTAAAATAAAGGCATTTTTACTTCACGACAATAAAAATTAAAGCTACAAAAGCTTGAACCAAATGGAATTTTTCAAAAAATACCATAATTAGCCGAACAATCAAGTAATTGCATTTTAACAAAGTTGGTTGTATTAGTTATTGAAGTTTATTTTAACCTTTGAAGACATGTTTCCTTATTAAATTGTTGTGGCTTTTCATGTTATTCCAATAAGCCCTTCAATTTCCAAAATTGTATTTAGTATTAATTGGGTGATCAAACTTTTATTGTTATAACAAAAAATATTTCAGATATCAATATCTACTTTTTACTGAATGTCTCCAGTTGATTGAAAACCTGACAATGATATCTTAAGTACTTTTTTTATTAAGTTTACTTTACTCTATAGGTACCTGTGCCAAAGGAACTATCATATTTTTTAAAGGGTTTAATCCTTTTTCTTTCATAAACACCATTAGTTCCTGAGAATAGCGTGCTGCATCCATTTGATTGCCAGTTTGCCTTGCTTCAGTCATTTTCAATTGCAATATCTGCATTTGAGGAAGGTAATTATTCATTTTAGCAGCATTTCTTTGTGCCAATATCACCAATGGAAAGAGTAACAATCTGACTGTTAGAGTACCTAAAATTACAAAGTCCACCCTTACTCAAATAGGTTATTTAAAAAATCACATATTTTCTAGTTTTCCAAATTGAAATAGACATTTTATAATTGTGATAATTACTTCAGAAACCACAATAATTGAGCTATGCTTTTTACTGATCACAGTGCCACTCTTGTTTAGAATAGTCAAGAATTATAAGTAAAATTATCAATGAATTAAAAATGTATCTCAGATAAATTTCAAATGGGACAACTTTTGGATACAGTAGTATTTCAACAAAATTCCAATTTAATATATAAAAAATCATTAGTTTTTATGAATATTTCTGGTAGTAATATTGGCTATTTAATGCCTTGTTAGTTTACCTTACTCACCAAGAGCAATTGCTGCCCACCACTCAATACCTAATGTACAATGCAAATATTCAAAACAGTTCTGTATTAAGCCTACTGGAGTGTAACCTCCCAATCCTAAAGATGCAAAAGTAGCTTCACCATTAGCATGCAACTGATTAACAAGTTCTGCAACTCCTTCTGGAATTAAAGGAGGTTCAGGTATGGCTTCAACTACTGGAGGTTCAGGTATAGCTTCAATTACTGGTTCTACTTTGGTTGGAATATTGCTTTGAAGGTTGATAGGTGCTGAAGTAGAATCCACTTGTTTACTAACGTTTTCTGTAACTGATACAGCTGCAGCAGACCATAAAAATGTTTCCTTTTTGGAAAATGTTCTTTGAACATTAGTACATAATTTTAAAATTTCTTTTCGTAACTTCGTATTTTTGATCTAAAATAAATATGTTAAAACCACCAAATACAAAACTATACAATTATAAACTAATTATCTAGAAATATTAACTAATTTTAGAAGCGTAATTTTTATACAGTTGGACTTAGCTAATTTGAGATACAGTAAATAGTCTATATCATATTTGAAAATACAGTAAGATCACCACAATAAGTAAATAGATTGTATTACTAAGGTGCACTATTATACAAAGACTTTTGGCAAATATCTTGCATAAATAAAAAACAAACTACCTTTGTTGTCTCATGATAAAATTATACTTCAAATCATCCAAAAAAATATTTCAATTGGGAGATACATTTTCATTTTTTATTGGTATAATAGAGGCTAATAACAAATTTCAATTATAGTTTGAATTAGTTAAGTCCAACAGTATTAAACCAAAATTTTATGAATTCAGTAAAGACAGACAATAGAATAAAAACCTTTTTATTTCTCGTTTCGTTTGAGTTGCAGGAACTTGTAGTTTCATTTAAAGAGTTTATATGAAGTTGTGAAATATTTTTCTAAAACAAAAATAAATTATTGTAAGTTGTATGAAACATATCCATATCCAATTCAAACACAGTGGTCCAACAAAAATTAGACATTCTAAAAAAACTCCAAACATGTTTTATTCAGAAATTTTGAAGGAACACGAAGATATGAAGTTTATACTCAAGGTGGCTTTATAAACTACATTCAGTTCGTGGTCAGTTCACTCTCAGTTCAACATAAACAGAGCAGAATAACACGGTAAGTATGTTTTGGATAAGAAATTATAAGGGATTTAAATTATTTTATAACCAACACCATCTACAAATATAATTAAAACAAAAATAACAACAAAATATAATTTTATTTTGTGGAATTTGTGGTTGTCTTGCTAACTCGAACTGAGCGCCAACTGAACATAGTTTATAAATCCACCTTTAAACCCCTTTCATTTTGGAGAGTGATCAAAAAATTGTCATAGGAACACTGTATTTTTATTACACAAATAAATTGATCTTACCAATGTTTTATTCAAAAAATTGGACGTGGCTGTTGTACTTCTATTTTGCAAAAATAATTCTACAAACTTTTCATATTTCTGGTTTTTCAAGTTATTCTAAAATTACCAAAAGTAGGTATTTGAATGTTATGAAGATAGATTGATAGACTTACCGTCACCGCTTTTAATGTACGAGAAAACTGCTGGCATGTGGCAATCGAGCAGTATCGAGACATTTTATTGAAATATTTAAGTTAAAGCTACAGTATTTTTCTTTTTTTTACATCTAAATTCAAACCGATTAAGACATAATCACATAACCTAAGTTAACCAGCAGCACAAAACTCTCCTTTCTCCTTCATGTTCTTCTATTTTGGATAAACATCGGCCTCGGCCTTACGGCCTTGGCGTTACTATTATCAGAGACAATCGAAGTTCGGTTACAACGTCTCTAAAGTTCTAGGTGGTTCTGGTGTTTGACTGGAATTTAGAGATGGATATTAGCAAATATGTTACTGTTATGTACATTTACGGATTTGTTACTACCCATCTCTAAATTCACGCGATATAACCGAACTTCGATTTTCGTTCAAGGACGACTTACCCAAGTCCGACTCAGCTGAGTTTTGTTTATAAATATGGGCTCCAGCCACATACTTTGATTTTCTTTTACTATACGGAGAATGGTCGCACTGCGCAGCTTTCTGAGTGCCTTTTAAAAGGAGATAGGAAACTCCGCCGTTTTGAACCCTTATTACGTGTTGCCTACATCTTGGCGCAATATTTTTAATAGGTGCGTTTAAGGGTCGGTTTTTCAATGTCCAGTCAAAGTGGCTGTTACGTAGCCGACAGCTATATCGTAGCTGGCAGTCAAAGTCTCTGTTACCGATGGAACGTGGATGGAACTGTTTTTCAATCATCACGAATTTAACTGCTAGCTACGTAGCGAATAGTTTTTTACTCTTAGCCAGGTTGGCACTTCTGCTAATTTATTAAATGGTTTTTATTGGATAATTTAAATTTTCCGCTTTAAATATCGTGTCTTGTGTTGATCGTCACCGACCTTCACATAAAAATTGTTCTATTTTGCTTCCATTTTTCTTTAAGATCTTGTTATTTTCTGTTTTTGGGCAATTGGTGATTTAGAAAAAAGAGAAAATATCTAATTATGCGGCATCAGATAGAGCCCTACTATTAAAATTTACTTATCTTACAGAATGTAAAAAAAACGGAAAATGCAATATCTCGGAAACGAAATGAGAAGGTTGCAGAAAATTTTTATAATAAAATTCTTTTCATCAATATCAAAATAATTGGGCCGTTCCCTTACAATACACGGATTACACGGTCATCTTGGCTCACATTAAATAATGTCTTTGTCATCGTTGCTGTGAATATGAATTCAAATAAATCCATTTTTGAGAAATAGAAAAATTAATAAAAATATTAACCTCTAAATTTGACAAACAACGTACTACGCATGTACAATAAATAGCTGGCGGCTATCTATATACGAAATTACCACTTGCAAGTGTCGGTTACGGTTACAGTCAAAATAGCTGACGGCTATCGTATAACTGGAGGTCGAAAAACGTTTTGACAGTCAGTGGCTGACGGCTATCTCCGTAGCTGCCAGCTATCCTAAATAGCCGGAGATTGAAAAACCGGACCTTAATCATCCGCTTATGCTTCGGAATTGTCGGTTTTCTTGTTTTATTCTGACAGGTTAAAACGACAAACGACTAAACCGACAATTCCGGAAGCAGAAGTTGATGATTGAAACGCACCTGATATTTTGCTTGCTGCTGTCAGTGTCAGTGAATATTATTTTTGAAGTCACAGTTTACTGCTAAAGAATCAGTTAGCTCACTCGGACCAGTTGAAAGTTCCAAAATAACATCCACTCCAGGGATACAAATTTAGGATACGCAGAAGACTGCTGTTTTATTATAGGCGGTTGTCATATATTGTATTATCCGAGTTGCACAGTGTATAAACTGAAACATTGAGATCAAAAGTGCCGACGCAGAGTGAGCGATCTGATTCTTTAGCTGTAAACTGTGTCACAGGGTTCAAAATGGCCGCGCCCTATGTTGGGCGTGTCGGACCTCTCTCTTGCCTCGTATTAGGCATTCCAACGACCTGTCAAACAATATCTGCCAGTGGGAAGGTCTCGTATATCTAAGGGGGGTAGCGACATAGTCTTGCATCTTGGACGCTATTTTTATTCGAAATATCAGTCGTCAATCCTGCCTGTTTATAAAAAAATGTACAAGCAGTTTTTTTAATTAATATTTTTATAGATTTCGATATAAAATATTTAAATGTAATCCATTATTCATGATTTTACGTATTGTAGATAGAATACATCGTATGTCGCAACCGTCAGATCTACCAAACCTGCCCACTGGCAATTCATTTGTTTGGAATGCCTAATTGTAATCAAAGTATGTGGCCCCAGCCTATTATGCATTCCAACGACCTGTCAAAATGCTGCCAGTGGGAACCACCGACCTTGATATTAAAGTCACATACTTTAGGTCTTTTCCTTTGCATCGAAAGTGTAGCACTGAGCTACGCCACTTCTGAAAATACCGTTCCATCCATACAATTTGTATAAATGGAAGGAGCTAATCCACTCTGTGCAGTTATTAGTTTATTTCGTGACAAGCTAAATATTTCCTGTGATGAAAAAGATCTACGAGACGTTTTTCGACTAAACTCAGGTGGCAGTATCAACAAACCCAAACCTATAATTATTGAATGCTTAACCTCTCGTTTCAAATGGGAAGTTCTTAACAAAGCTAAACTCTTGAAAGGTTCAGGGATATTTATCTCCATCGATTATATTGCTGAGGATTATGAACAAAGAAAAATTTTATATAGTTGTCAAAAAGCAGCACGTGAAGAAGGATCAACGGCGGTTATTAAAAACAATACTTTAATTGTAAATGGTGTATCTTACAAAATTGAAGAACTCTCTCAATCAATGTTCACAGAAGAATCTCGCATAAGGCAGGATAGTTCCTCTTCTACTGGCAGTACCGTATCCAAAAAGCTTAATCTTGAAAATAATCAGGACTCAGATATTCAACAAAAACCGAATAATAAACCTAATCTAAGATCAAAGATTAACAAATAAACGATTTTTTTTTAAATTTTTTTCATGATCGTCCTATCAACACATCTACAACTTTGTAATTTTTTTTTACATCTTTTCATATTTTCATACAAATATTAATATATATTATTCCCCTGACATATTGTAAGTAACTCTAAGCATCTGTACTATTTTAGGTAATTACAACTTTTTATCATATTTGTCTTTACTGAATTTAGAATATTGATACAATTCGAAACCAATCAGGTCTTCAGTCTTAGGCATAATACATGTATATAGGTATATATTAAAAGGTAGTATCTGAGACCTTTTGTTTGCATACATATTTTTTTTTATATTTCATAAGTTGTATTAATTTTAATAAAAGGTTGCTAAAGGGAACATTTGTATACGATCTTATTGCCACAATTTTCAGCATGAGTTCTATTAAATTATGTCATATAAATGCCAGATCTATTACTAGTGATTTTGCAGAGTTTAAACGATCTGTTTTTGATAATTTCGACATTATTACCGTATCAGAGACTTGGCTTAATGCTAACATTTCAAACAAAAGTATAAATCTATTAGGTTACAAACTCTTTCGCAATGATAGAAAAGATAGGAGGAGGTGTTGCTATATATATAAGAAGCATTTTCAATGCCAAAATTATAAACAATTTATCCATTAAGGGCGCAGTATCACTGTATTTTTCATATAAGAAGCAAGGGTTCACCATTTCCGATTGCATTTAAATCCCGCTAAATGTATTAAAATGAATCTTCTACCAGCTTAAAGTATAAGGTTTGGACAATGAAATCTCCTATTTTTTATTTGTCCTGTTTTTACACTGAATTTTAAAAAAAATCATAAAAAGTGATTTTAAAACCAGAGGCTAAAAAGTAGGAGATTTCATTCTACATATTTTTCCAAGTATCCCGCCAAAATATTTCTAAATTTTATTGCGTATTTTTCAAATCTAACTGGAAATACGATTAACAAATATTTGATAAATTTATTTGTCAAATTAGAGATTTTCTATGAATTCCTGTAATTGTGTATAGTTCATGTAGTTCATCTATTTTTAAGAAGATGTCACCGTAAAAAAATCTAGCTACTCTGTTTTAGAGATGGTTTTAATAGGTAAATGATTGTTTAGAGGTACCAATTTTTGAAACAATGATACAGCTGTATGTCGTCTTTTATTGTTTCGTGATTTTCATATATATTTGTCTCGCTTTGCGTTCCAGATACAAAATTATCGATTTATGTTCCTTGCGTATGAACAAGTATTGGCCACGTTGCCAGATGTACAATAAATATCGATTTATACGATAATTTCACAATTTTTTCTCAGGCGAATTTAATTTTAAAGTGGGTGAAATGTGAAATGCGGGAGAGGGAACTTTATTGCATTGAGATGTAATTTGAATCCGAATGACCTGGCATCACTGTATGGTACGCACGTAATATTTGCGGGACTTGCTTTCTTCTTATGAATGTTATTTTATCTTTATAAGGAACTTTATTTCTGAGTTAACACGTTGACTGCTATGTGTATATGTACCCTTGTGTATGTCCCATTAGTGCGTAATTGTTCAATATTTTAAATTGTTAAAGACACGCAAACATGTTTCAAAGAAAAGTTATATGGATTTGGAAAATACATATTTTAAAAATATTTTTGGATATACAGGGTGTTACATTTTTGCCTGGCATATTTTTTAAATAGAACAACATGTATTTTATTTCAGTTTTAGAATGATTTGGTAATACTGTATTCAAGCCTAGAATGTTTAAAAAAACTATTACAGGTTTACCAAGCAATTAAATTTTTATGAAATTAGAGAATGATATGCAGACCCCAAATTAAATTATCATAATTTGGGTAGGATTACATTAATTTCAAAATTGTTTAATATACAGACTTGTAGCACATTAAGATAACAAATAGTGTTGATAGTGCTGGATTCTTTTATACCGAGTGTTTTGAAACTTGTCTTATATATGGCTACTTTGAGGTTTAATTTACTTAATTTTTTCAAAGGCAACATATTTTAGCATACAATTCCTTATAAATTTGCCTGTTCAACAATACCAACATGTTAGAGAATAACACCCTGCAGGTAGTTATACATATTTGATTGTTTTCAGGTCGTCAAATAATTTTAATTGACTTCATTCATTTGCTATGTTATATGTAGGGTGTATCAAAACGCGAGGTTACGATTTTTTTAATTTTTTCAATGGAATTCACTGTATTAAT